GCTTGATTATCTCAAACGGTTCAAAAGTTATAGGCAAAGTTAGAAGCGGATAAGTGAAAATTGGTTTGGCCCTGGGAGCTCAGGAAATGGGAGAAACTAGGCCAGGGAGGCCAGGGCTCAAAGGGTTAAAGGTAATCTGCTAAGACCATCTGCACTATTCTCAGATCCAGGTTTGTATTTCAATTCATAATTGTATGCGGCTAGTGTGATAGCCCATCTTTGAATTCTTGGAGAGGCATGCTCAGGTAGGGTTTTGTTTTCTCCAAATAAACCTAGCAATGGTTTATGATCTGTAAAGATGGTGAACTTCCTACCAAACAGAAACTTATGAAATTTCTTAACACCAAAAATGATGCCTAAGCCTTCCCTATCTAACTGAGAATAATTTTTCTCAGCCTGGTTCAAAGATCTACTGGCAAAAGCAATGGGTCTGTCACCCTTCTCATCCATGTGGGACAAGACTGCTCCTACACCATCTGGTGAAGCATCACATGTTAATATAAGTCTTTTCCCTGGGTCATAGTGAGTTAGTAAGGTGTCAGAGGACAAAGCTTCTTTTGCTGTATTAAAAGCAGTATCTTGTTGTTTACCCCAGTGCCAAGTTGCATTTTTCTGTAGCAGCTTGTACAGTGGTGATAGTTTACCAGACAGATTCCCTATGAACTTTGCATAGTAATTTATCAAGCCCAAAAAAGCTCTTAGTTGTTGGGTATTTTCAGGTTTGGGTGCTTCTTTAATGGCTTTTGTTTTCTCAGGTTGAGGTCTGATGCCTTGTTTGCTCAATATATAACCAAGAAAACTAATTTCTGTCAGCATGAATTGACATTTATCTTTGTTTATCTTTAAACCTTTTTCACCAACAATTTTCAATACTTTATCAAGTGTTTTAAGATGTTCAGTGTCATTCTTACCAGTTATGTACACATTGTCAAAGTACACACAAACATTTGGAATGTCCTTAAAAATACTGTCCATGACAGCTTGGAAAATTCCAGGGCTGGATGATATGCCAAAACATAGTCTTTCATATTGGTAGAGTCCTTTATGTGTGTTTATTGTCGTATAGACTTTTGAATCTGGATGCAGTTCTAGTTGAGTGTAAGCATGACTAAAGTCTAATTCAGTGAATTTGTCTCCTCCTGCCAAATTCAAAGAAATTTCCTCAATGTTAGGTATAGGGTACCTATTTAGCTCTATTTGCTTATTCAGTGTAGTTTTATAATCTCCACAAATTCTTATAGAACCATCCTTCTTTAACACAGGCACAATGGGCGACGCCCAATCGGAATAGTCTACCTTCTTTATAATGCCATTAGATTCCAATCTACTTAGCTCATTTTCAATTTTATTCCTCATTGCATAAGGTGGAACTCTAGCTTTGCAGTATCTTGGATTTGTGTCTTTAATGCTTATCTTCACTGTTCTATCATTTAGTAATCCAGAATTGCCAAAAACACTTTTATTTTCAGATATTACTTTATCTAGTGAAGTAAGACTAGATTCTCTTACATTCTTCAATGAACAAATACTCTCCCAATTTAACTTAAGATCACTTAACCAGTTCCTACCTAGTAATGGTGGTCCATTTCCTTCAACCACAAGAAGAGGAAGTTTAACACTTTGACCATTATAACTTACATGAACCATACACTCTCCTATTACCGGAACATTGTCACCAGTGTATGTTGTTAGACACTTGTGACATGGCTGTAGAGACACTGATCCTCCTGTGACAGCGTCAAAATCTTTCTTTGTTATGACTGTTAGAGATGCTCCAGTGTCAAGTTGGAAGCTGATGCTCTTACCGTTGATATTAACTGGTACATTGATGGGAGCATGACTTATTGATTTCACAGAGAATAGGTTGAAATCCGGCTGCGAATCAGTTTGAGCATTTTCACTGGTAGAGTGGTTCATTGGTTGGGTTAGGTAGTCTTGGTGAGAGTTAACATAGTGCTGCTTTTGGTTGCGGTACTGTCTTGACTGGCTAGATTTAGCAACAGACGAAGACTTTGCAAAGCAGGCCTTGGCAATGTGACCTTGCTTACTGCACTTATAACAAGTTGCAGACTTGAACTTGCACCGATGAGATGCATGGGGACCTTTGCATCGATGACATTTTTGATAATTATTACTAGATTTAGATCTAGGATTTGAATGAGCAGGCTGTTTAGCATAAGTTGGAATGCTCTGATGGGGTTGATGTTTATTGACTAACCTGCTGTTTACTGCATGGATCCCTGAAGGCGTAAGAGATTTCGCCGCATCTGATGACTGCTGGAATAAACTTGCAAGTTGTATTGCTTTTTCTAATGTTAGATCTGACTCGAGCAGCAACTTTCTTTGAATATCAGGGCTGTTTACACCTGTCACAAACTTTTTACATAATCTGTCAGACAGCGTGTCTCCGAATTCACAAAATTCACTTAAATGACGTAAAGCAGCAACATATTCTGATATTGACTCGTTTGGTTGACGAGTCCTACTGTCAAATCTAGCTCGACATAGAAACTTTGATGGGGTAGGCGCATGGTGGTCTGTTAGCAATTTGCTCAGCTCGTTAAAGCTCTTGGTAGTTAGACTAGCTGGTGCGCATAAGTCTTTTAGTAGCCTAAATTGTTGAGGCCCTATGACTGTTAACAAAACAGCTCTCTTTTTGGCTTCTATCGTCACGTTGTTAGCTTCTAGGTAAAAGCTTAACCTATCTAGGTAATCCTGAATGATTTCATCATTCGAATCAAATTGTTTTATTTGGCCATACAGCGCCATTATTCTAGAAATACTTAGCCAATAAGCTCTAGCAAACCTCTTTTTTGCGTAAGTAGGTGCTCTTTCTAGTAGATTTTCATCCTCGTCGTCAGATATAATAGATTGACGATAGAAGCATGTGGTTGTATATAACGTTTATTGGGTCTAACTACATGACGGTACCACAGAGAGGAAGGAAGTACAATGCACAAGGGACATCACTCAAGATAACAATATAAATATAATACTAATACAGAAGAGTGAGTTCCCTTGACCTCACAATTATCTCAATCTATTACAGGTTTCCCATGACGTTCTGATTATAATCAGCAGCAATAAAACGCGTTGAACACTCTAAGACAATGTGCATTGTCAAAAAAATTCATTCAGGATCTATAGCTAAATGTGAATTCTCTTTTACTGTATGGCTCGCAGCTAGGTTACAGACAGTGTAGAATGAAATAAGAACATGGGAAAAGTGGTGGCCAGGGCACAATATCAGTATATAACATAAACGGTGCTGGTGTAAAGTCCACGGCGAAAGAGGAAGAGAAGGAGACAAAAAATGCCTGAAGAAAATTGTTTGAACTTGAGAAGGCGGAGGTTGGATTATTAGGTTCTATCTTCATGCAAATCAAGTGGGTTGACGAAGTGTTGCCTACGCCTATGCTCCTTAGAAAACCGAAGCAAAAAAAAAAGGAGAAAATCAAACGAACTTAGAGCAGTGGTTCTTAACCTGGGTTCGATCGATCGAATCCAAGTGTTCGGTTTGTAAGTCTCAGAACTTCGGCGGATGTCAAGACACACACCCGACTAATATGATTCACGATAAGATTTTGTCTGGACGATAAAACTATTAAGAAGGGTTCGGTGAAGGCGCATATGAAACTGATAGGGTTCGGTACCTCCAAAAAGATTAAGAACCACTACTTTAGAATGTAGTTTGTATAAGGCCAAGCTTATTTGGTCTACTTTTGGTTGTATCTTTAGAACAATTTCGATAATAGTGTATTATAGTTTTAAATTATCAGTTAGGTTGAACAAAGTGACAAAGCATCACCAGTTGTCGTGTTGTACCATTTTTTTGCATCGTTTAGTAGGTCTAGTGGCCTTGATTATATGAAATTGGTAGTATTAGGACTTGTTATGAAACAAGCAATTTTAAAAATCACCTATTCAGTACAACATACTTATGTTTTTAGCTCTTAAAATTTCGGCAAGATTTCGGCCCACCCGCTACAACCGTATGCTATTTTACTGGCCGGATAGAGATTCAAGAATCCGTGATATTTATTTCTCTTTAATACAGTGATCCAGGCAAACACTTTGTAATTTTTGTTCTCGAAAAAAGAGCCCCCCCCCCACCTACACACACCCTCACCTCCCAACCATCTTTGACAAAGTTTGTAGAGCGGGTTTTAACGTAACTAACTTTCTAGTTTTTTAAAAATGTTACACAATTGTACAATCCATGTTAGTACAATTAGTTTCCTTTCTAAGTGCTAAAGGTTGTTTACTCAAAATCCAGTGTAGTTTTGCGATTTTAGTTAGCCTAAAGGGCCCTTCCCCTGCACCATCATGATAAAAGTCACTAACGTATTTTACGGTCAAACAATCGAACAATACGTTTTAATACAATTGGTTGTTTTTATAAGGGGTAACGTTTATCGACTCTTCCGATTTTAGTTTCAAAAAGCGCTCCCCCCCCCCTTTAGGAAAAGCTGGAAAGCGGTTTTTACCGGTCAATGTTTCTTAAGAACATATGTTTTACAGTTAATAATCAAGGTAGAAAACAGTTAAACCAGTATGCAAAGGTGTGTAGCCATTACATTTCTTAACTGTTTATAATTCAAAACTGCAGCATAAAACCAGCTTTAAAAGTTTTTTCCACCCCTTTTGGCGCCCCCCCCTAGGGTCGGCGCCCGGGGCGGCCGCCCCCTCCCCCTAGCTACGCCTCTGCCGCCACCAGCAGATAACTGCATTTACAGGCATAGCTACTGCATAGCAAGAATAAATAAACAATCTGCTTTATATAAATAATTATAAAAAGAAAATGGAAATCCAGTTTCTTTTCTGCTGTAGAAAACATTTTTTTTTAAAATCCGCAAAAGGCACTCAATCTTTCCATTGTGTTTAGTCAAGTGCAGTAAGCCGGTGTAGCAATATTTATTAGGTCACAAGTTTACTTGGGGCAGGGGTGGTTGGGATCATAAAACTTTCAGTTTCTATTTGCGCTCGGCGTTTAAATTTAGTGTCTGCTTACAGTTTCAATTTTCAAAACTTCATCTTGTGCATTTTGTCCGTGACTGATATGGTTACACTACATTTTTTATTACTTCCCATTCATTTTAAGTGTGACTTTTCTAACTTTAAACTTAGCATGTCTATAGCAGAATTATTCGTCATGATGTTTGTATACATCTTTTATGCAAATGGAGGTACTTACGTTTCTTTTTAATGATGTTTAACCTAGGGACAGAGCTTTATTTTTTTTTTGCCGACTTCAATGGGCCTACGCGTTTGCTTATTTGCAAACAGAACTGTAGGCGTAAACTAAAGTGTGTTTGCCTTTCTTACTCACGATATATATATATATATATATATATATATATATATATTATATATATATATATATATATATATATATATATATATATATATATATATATATATATACATATATGGCCTATATATATGGCCTATATATATATATATATATATATATATATATATATATATATATATATATATATATATATATATATATATATATATATATATATATATATATATATATATATATATATATATATATATATACATATATATATAGGCCTTATATATATATATAGGCCATATATATATATATATATATATATATATATATATATATATATATATATATATATATATATATATATATATATATATATATATTTCAGCTTGCGATTTAAACCTATATTTTGAGTGCCATAACAAACGGTGCCTCCTTAAGGAATTTGTCTGCGATGGTGACATGAATTGCATGAGAGGCGAGGACGAATTTAACTGCAGTGAGTCTTCTATATCACTAAATTATGTGCACGGTAAAACACAACATTTAACACTTATTAAAATCTTACGTTTAGAGACGTGTTTCAATTCAATTTATCATATGCAGCAATAAAATGAATCTTATATTGAGGGGGGGGGGGGGTAAACGTGGACGTCCACATGTTGAATTTTGCATAAAAATACTTACATCTAAAATTTAAAAATAAATATTAAAAATAATAAATTAAAAAACTGCGTATACAATGCATGAATCAAATCGGCTGTTCTCAAGTTAAAAAAAACATCAGCTCAATGGGTGAATAATTTGTAAAAATAAAATACTTAAAAAAAACTTTTAAAAAAAACACGTTTTTCTTGTGGACTAAAAAGTAGAAAATAACTATTTACATACATTTGATGACAAAAAACGTGGGTACGTTCACCATCAAATTTCCCGACCCATCTGCCCGACCCACGTTTTTTGTCATCAAATGTATGTAAATAGTTATTTTCTACTTTTTAGTCCACAAGAAAAACGTGTTTTTTTTAAAAGTTTTTTTTAAGTATTTTATTTTCTCCTTTTTAGTCCGTTGCTGCACATGAAAAACGTGGTTTTTAAAAAGTTTTTTATATAGTTTATTTTCTACTTTATCTAATCACTTGATTAAGTATGACTTGACTAAGTGTTTTTAAATACACGGATTAAAAAAATCTTGAGCGACCGATACGCTTTAAACAGAGAAAGGGTGTAATTTACTTTGCTGGCGTGGAGATCTACTCACGAATCACGTGATCAAATCTCCCATAAACAAACAAATAAACGCGAAGATGAGTTAAGGAAAAACGTGTTTATGTGTATTTTAGCATGCCCAGCGTACCAACCGTGTCACCGTTAACAATGTGTTACCGTGTCCGTTCTCCTTTTTAGTCCGTTGCTACACATAAAAAACGTGGTTTTTTAAAAAGTTTTTTTTAAGTATTTTATTTTCTCCTTTTTAGTCCGTTGCTACACATGAAAAACGTGGTTTTTAAAAAAGTGTTTATAAATACACGGACTAAAAATCTTGAGCGACCAGGATTCGAACCTGGGTTGTCGCGGCCACAACGCGAAGTACTAACCACTATACGATCACGGCCAGCGCGCTCACATCGATTGGGGCCGAAGTAACTGTGTCAATAGGCCTCTTGTCGGTATCTTTAGAAATCATGTCCTCAATTTTATGGTCCTTGGGGCGTAATTAAATTAAGCTAATTACGGTCACTAATTGCTAGTTTTTATGATTGCATCTGAAATTGTTAGGCGAAAGTAGCATGCATGCCAAATTTCAGGTCTCTAGAGCAATCAGAAGTGGGCTAATTTTCGATGTCAATTTTAACAACAAACATCCAAACAACCAAACAAACAAACAAACGCGAAGCTGAGTTAAGAAAAACGTTTTAATAAAATAGGTGCCGGTACCCAGTGATGGATTGCCTAACTTTTAACAATCAGTTCTCACCTCGTTGCCAGCTAAATCACAACTGCAAAGATACTAAACAATTTTATCGAAATTATCGGGGGGGGGGGAGGACACTGCTAAAAGTATATATTTTCTATATCAATTCCATTTTGTTCGGGGGTGGGGGTGGGGGAGGGTAGACCGGTAGACTTTCTTCGAGAGGTCTCTTACACCCCCCCCCCTCCCCCGACGACATGCCTTGAAGAAACTCTGAGTGTGATTACTCCGAAACTTCATTCTCAGATAGCCCTACACCAGTTGATACACCGAGTCAGACGAACACTACTGTTCCCTACCCTGAAGCTACAAGCAAGCTACCTTCATCCAGTACAATACGTGCTACCAATGCTATTGCTAAAACGTCCGTTTACCCGTGTCACCCTACACCCACCTACACATACAAGTTGGCGATAGTTCACGACAATGGCAGTACACTGGCGATATCTACTGGAGAAAGTGTGAACTTTACCCTTGCAAATACGGGATGTGATTTTGCTAGCGTCTATAGTTGTAGAGTTATCTTCAACGAAATGAAGTATCTACAGCATAAAAGTTGTAAGATATAATTTATCTCGCATATACATAATTATATATATATATATATATATATATATATATATATATATATAGGCCTATATATATATATATATATATATATATATATATATATATATATATATATATATATATATATATATATATATATATATATATAGGCCTATATATATATATATATATATATATATATATATATATATATATATATATATATATATATATATATATATATATATATATAGGCCTATATATAACTATGTATAGGAAATAAAACAACAGTATAAAGATTTTACAAATAAATTCGTCATATTAGGTAGCATGCATTTTGTTTTAATATTTAAAAAATGATTAGGTGAGTAAAATCTTTTCATGTTTGTTCCAAAGAAATACTGTATTTAGAGGTTGTGTGATTTCCTTTTTAAAGGTATTCCCAAATCGTTACGACTTAGCGTTAACGGCATACATTACGTGGATAAAACTGTAATAACTGCTGAAAAAGGATCTAGCCTTGATATACAATGTAGTACTACACTAGAACCTTCCGTTGAAAATGCTCCTACAGACAACAGCGCACCCCTCCAGTGTGAGGGCGACGCCACTGAGAACTGTTGGGTTACTGGTAGTGAGATGAGAGTTGCTGTTCAGGTTTTAAACTGTAAGTTGTTAGTGTTTGTTTTAAGTGCAAGTTGTTAAAGTTGTTTAAACTATAAGTTTTTGTTTAAACTGTGAGTTATTACAGTTGTTTGTTTTAACTGTAAGTTGTTCAAGTTTTTGTTTAGATTCAAAGTTGTTAAACTTGTTTGTTCAACCTGTAAGTTGTTTAAGTTGTTTGTTCAACCTGTTAGTTGTTAAAGTTGCTTGTTTTAACTGTAAGTTGTTCAAGTTTTTGTTTAAATTGTAAGTTCTTCAAGTTGTTTGCTCAAGAGCTTAGGTTCTCCATGGGTTGGGTGAATGGTTTAAGGGAGTGGGTGTCATCATTCTGTCCAACTTATAGACTTCTAATTAAGTGGCAATTACAACTGTATACTAATTTTTGTTCAAAACGGTATTATATAAAATAAATTTCTTAACAGTAAAATATAAAAAAATCACAAGGTTAATTAACAAAAAAAAAAAAGTTTTAAAGTCGATTTACTCAAAATCAGTCAGAAGTGACTTAGCAGAATTTGCAAGTGGACTCCTAAAATATTGAAAACTAGTGAATGAACATAAACACTTGAACGTCATTCAAACATAAGTATTTCTTTTTTTTTAAATATCCCGGCCAGCCGTCAGGCAATGAATCTTTGACTAATACATCGACTTTTTTCACTTCCTATTGAATCATATCTTTTCTGAGTGGATGCTCAGTAAAACAGTAATACCGTCAAACTCGCCACCATCCAAATGAGTCGACTTCTTTAATTAGTATAATATTTAGTTTAGTATACATTATTAAATCAAAACGCTTCTTTTCAGTGGCGTAACGACCGTTCCCGGCGCCCGGGGGACAAACTTTCAATTTGGCCCCCCCCCCCCATATATTTTTTTATATTTATAATGCAAAACTGCAGCTAAAATGAGTTTCTAATTTTTTTTCAACCCATTTTTGCGCCCCTAGGATCGGCGCCCGGGAACATATGTACCCCGCCCCCCCCCCCCCCAATCCCCCGCTACGCCTCTGCTTCTTCTGGTTCGCTTCATTAGTAAATATGTGTTAATTAATTGCATGGCAAATAGCCTATCGGTTTTAATGTGTGTATAGGGGGGGGGGGGGGGCTAGTCTTTGTTTTGTTCGAAAGTCAAATTATGGTAGGCCATTTGTTTTTAACGTCGAATTTGGAAGCCGTTACTTACGGAGTTTATGAAGTCTGAGACCACGTTGAAACAGACCGATTGTCGTATCCGCATATTTTTAACACGTAGTAAAATCATCGTTACTGATAACTTAATCAAAGTATTTTTATACTACCTATTATCATTACTTCTATGATTAGCTGCTGTCTTAGTCTTTTATTTGACAACAACTGCAACAACTTTTCGACAAATAGGCATATTTATTATCTAACTAAATAATTAGTTATGTAAAAAATGCATTTTAATTCATTCCCAATGACCAAAACTGTACCCGTACCTACTACCATTAATTACATTCTCCCCATCCCATATTTCTGTACCCACCAGGCAGTAGCTGTGAGCAGAACAGTTGCCAGGTCAAAGGTCAGAGTTCATGTTTACATCTGGTTAAAAACGAGACGAGTTTTCAGGATGCTAAAACACAATGTGCACAACTGGGTGGCTTTGTCGCAGATCATAGTGTGTACGTGGATCAGGACGTCTGCGTACAAAGTAATGATAATTTATCTTAAACTGGCGAAGATAAAGTTTATTGCTTTTTGATTAATCATATCCTCATTAATTACATGAACCTACGTATTTGTATGGAGACGAAAGTAGTTAGTCAGAAAAGGGGGTGGGGGGACTTGAAATTTTGGTGGTGTTGTTGGGAGGAGGGGGGGGGGGGGACTAAACTTTCCGAGGAACGTACACTGGTAAAAGCAGGCTATTTTCTATATAACTTCTATTTCGTTCGGGGTAGAGGGTGGACGTTTTCTGGGAGGGTGAAAGAGATATGCCCACCTGAAAGAGATTTTTCTATTAAGTAGAATCTATATCTAAACTAAGAAAACTCTAACAATACGTGAATTTTAAATTCGTTACAAAAAATATACTTTACCCTAATTCTTAACTCGCACAATACGTAACAACTATAATTCTAATCAAAATAAACTAAATGATATATTACATAGCCGTAAACGCGTTTTAATCTTTCAATTTGCTGATAGTATATAACAAATATATTTTCCAACAGACCAATTAAATGGAGTTACGTCCCTGTTCTCGTCTGATAGCAGCAAGGCTTGTCTTGTCTACTCTATCAAAGACAAAAGTTTCAGGCATTGCAAGGGTGTCACAAACTTACCTTTTGGCTGTTTGATCTCATCACGTGGTAAGTTAAAGTTTCACGCGACAAAATGTTTGACGGTTATTGTGGCAAAAGTAAATTTGCCTTTGAAAAATTGCACCGGCCCCATTCCCAGATGGAGAAGCATGCTTTATCCACTTAGTCTAATGTTTAACACCCAGAGGCGTAGCGAGTGGGGGGGGGGGGGGGGCGGGGGTGCGGACCGCAACGGGTGACACCATTTAGGGGGGTGACACCAAGGCAAAAAATAGCAAAATATATAGAGAAAAACTTGAGGGGGGGTGCAAATCGAAAGTTTGAGGGGAGGGGGGGGGGTGAAAATCGAAAGTTTGAGGGGAGGGGGGGGTGCAAATCGAAAGTTTGAGGGGGGGGGGGGGGAGGGTGCAAATCGAAAGGTTGAGGGGGGTTGCAAGTCGAAAATTTGAAAGTTTGTCCCTGGGAAGGGTCGCTACGCCTCTGGGGGATGACACCATTTAGTGCCGCACCGGGTGACACCCTAACTGTTAACATCCATATGCCAGAAAAAAAGGGTGTTACAGAAAAAGCCATAATTATCAATTTAGTAGCAATCACCCTCAATACGTAGCCATTGTGGATGTTGAAGGTCATGTGACAGAGGTGTTTGGAAGATGAGTGAGTTTGCCTCAATGGAATCCCTCCAAAGTTCAGCAATGTTATCCAACAACCCAACAAAGGCTCCAACAATATTTATAAAGAAAAGCGCGGGTCACTATATTATCTATTTGATACGTTTACTAAAATTTAAGAAGCAACCTAAGCATTAGTTTATAGTTGTTTAAATAGTAGTAGTCATATTATAATTTTTAAAATAATACGTTTCTACTTTTTAGTGCATATTGTGATCTAAAAGCTTATTATTTAAAAGTTTTTTAATTGCATTATTTTTACAGAGATTTCACACACTGGTTTTCCCAATGAAATGATCGTTATGATTGTGGGGAGTGTCGTCGCCGTAGATTGTTTATGTGTTTTCTGCATTGTCTTTAGAGTAATACGGGGTAGGTCAATTTGTTTATTTTGAGAAGTTCTATGCAAATAGCAGTGTGATGGTTTTTTAGTAGGTACAAGTACACCTAGTGTAGACGTGGGACTCTGATATGTGAATGGTGGGCACTAAGTAAGCCATCATTTCTGAGCAGTAATATATAGGATAATTAATTAATTAATAATATTGATAGCTAGTGAATCGTAGTAGAAGTATTTATAAAAAAGGAAGTTAAAATTGTTTCAGAGGCGAAGCGAAGGGGGGGAGGCAAGGGGGTACATATATCCCCGGACGCCGACCTGAGGGGGCGCCAAAATGGGTTGGAAAAACAAATTAAAATGTCATTTTAGGTGCAGTTTTGCATTATAAAAAATATATGGGGGGTTGCAAATGGAAAGTTTGAGGGAAAGGGGTGCAAATGTAAAGTTTGAGATGGGGGGGGGGGGGTACAATTGGAAAGTTTGAGGTGGGGGGGGGGGTGCAAATTGAAAATTGAAGGTTTGTTCCCAAGGGGGCGCCAAATTAAATTGAAAGTTTGTTCCCGGGCGCCGTGAAGGGTCGCTACGCCTCTGATGTGTTTATTTTTTTTTTCAGTTAACCGTCAGAAGTCACATCATAATGAGGACAAGCCTGTTTATGAAGAGATAGCTTTACCAAACAGAAACAACGTATCCCCCTACAGTACAATAGATGAACAGAGCTCCGATGTCTATTCGACTGGATGCTGTCACTGTGTTGGGACAAAATCGGCTTCAAACGGAAGAAACTTGACACGAGCTGGGGGTCCACCCGCCCCTCACCTTCCCCCTAGAAAACGCTCATCTAAAGCAGACGTGAAACACGTGCAACTACAGGACCGAATGAAGTTTGATACAGACTCTAGTGTCGCTTTACGAAGTTCCCAGCATGCCCTAAATGTGCACCAAGGGAGATCAAAAACGTCGAAACGTCCGCTGCAGAAAGTAGTTCTAGCAAGGACAGCAGATAGACAAAGTTTTATCTGCGACGCGGAAGGATATTTACAAGCATCTCACCTACACACAGAATGTATCAGTACGCAAGATGGCGGCTTAGATGAAGTGTTGCCGTGTTGTCATCAATATGAGGATGAGTCCACGGACTACATCACGCCAGTAGAGTGTGAATATGACGTTCACATGTTCCTGACATAAAAATGGTTGTTTGGGGGAGGGTAATTTCAGATGCTGCCGTGGCTCATCTTGTCATGAGCCATATTGTCGGGGTCGTTTAGTCGTTTGTATGGCTAGAACACGTTCAACTGTGCTGGCATCTGACGCAACGTGAAAGTTTTGCAGTCTGTCAACGGTGCAAACAACAGGGGCGGGGGGGGGGGGGGGTGGTGGGGAGGCTTCGATGTATGGAAAAAACTCTGTATAAAACGATAGCTACCTTCCGTACCTAGAGGGAACATTTTACAATTTCAAGTAGAATGGCGCTAAATTGGATGCCTCAAGGAAAAAGAAAGCAGGGAAGGCCAAGGTAGACGTGGAAACACACAGCAGTGAAGCAGCGGCAGGACTGTCATAGGGGACTGCCAGAAATTGGTCGGTGAGCGATACAAGTGGAGGGAGCATTATGTGGCGGCCCCATGTGTCTTGGGTACAAAAAGTAAAAGATGAAGGTGTACTGAACATCTTCCGGGAGTCTTACCAAGCTAGTATAGAGAGGGGGGAGGCTCCATAGGTTATCAGAGATATAAAAATAATGACGCCAGCAGTCCACGATCGTGACGATTTATTCACGTTATCGTGTGACATGGGGCGTGACATTTTCACGTCAATAGCGTCAAATACTGCCTGATTATCCCGATGATTTGATTCTACATCCATTTATAGTGATACTCGTAATTTCCGTAATGGCTACTTGTAATTGTAATCAGTCGTGTTTCATTTGTAAATATCTCAATGGCTTATAACACAAATAACATTTGTCACAAAATTTTCAGTACCCCGATCCACACGCCCTGTATCATTCATGTAGTTATAATCCTGTGCAACAGTTATTGTGTGTAATATAGGCATAAATATATTTTAATTTCAATTTTTGCCAGAATAAAAATTTCAATAGCTTTTTACTCTTTCCAGTTTTAAGTACTGTTTTCTGTTAGACTCATGTATTTGTCAACTTTGGGTAAACATATAAAGCAGTCTCTTGATAAACAGTTTACGTTAAGCAATATTCGATAAATTACGTCACACGTCTGTTGGTAAAGAGGGCTGGGGGTTAAGTAGATGGGTGTTTTGAATTTTTAAAAAGTGTATGTTCACTTAAACGATATTCTTGAATCATAATTGAAAAAAAGACTAAAAGTTACAAGTACAAACCCTCTTTCAAACATCTAAGCATCCATCCATAGCAAATACCTTTCAAAAAGTCTAAAATTTAAAATAAAACAAATCCTTCACCTATATGTGAAATCGAACACTCATGCACACACGCTGCAAAACCACATACTTCCGAAAACAAAACTCTAAAGTATACGCATTCGAATCAAAGTCCATACCTCAAAATAAATTACAAACTATATAGAAGTGTGCACGAAAATAAGTCATTCCTGCCTCTCACAATAGCGGAAGATGATTAACGTACACTCAATGCTGTCATACAGCACGCCCAGGGGCGTCAAAGCGGTAGTGAGGACCAATCCGCGCCCCCGCAACAACGGTTTAACGAATGCGATCCCTAATTTATTTCTAGCTTAACAGATTCTTCGTTCAATTATTTATCATTATTTCGATAATCTATTGTTTTTCATATTTTCTCAAATAAATTTTTTCCGTAAAATGAACATGTTGTTTACATACTTGTTTTTATTATACATCCTGAGTACAGAATATTATAATTTACCATTAGAACATTATATAATGTAATTGTATGAAAATCATTAAAGCACTTTATCTTTTATTTTTAGATCTATGCATTTAAAATACAATAGATCTATAAATAGTTTATATATATATATATAAATATATATATATATATATATAAATATATATATATATATATATATATATATATATATATATATATATATATATATATATATATATATATATACATACATACACAAACAGTTCATTACTACCGCACTGATATGTGTTGAATAAATTAACAATAGACTTTCCTTTAGATAGCTTGGGTGCATACACATCAGGTATCATAAAAACCCAATAGCAATTTTAACATTGGCAGGTGAAAGATTCCCCTGATTCATATCTTTAACTATTTAAAGGGGACGGAGTGGTCTAGCGGTAGAGAGCTGGACTGCTAACCTGTAAGTTTCGAGTTTGAATCTGGGTTCAAGTCAGTAGACCATCTCTGAGTCCACCCAACTGATGGGTACCTAATTCAAGTTA